ACCCTATCAGTGGTGCAGTGGTGCAAAAAATCAAAATGCCAGTCTCCTGAATGTCTTAGAACCTAAAAGCTAACAGCTACTCATTTGCAGAGGCATCACTGTGTGGCCGAAAGCCCCCGTCACCGTGCGATTTATGTTCACAGTTCTGGATGTGACTCGAGAGGGGTTTCCCAGTGTACCAATACTGAGCATTTCATAGAAGGTTTCAGATATGCTACAGCTTGTTGCATCATCTTGTTCTGTCACAGTGTAACTGACTAACAAAACCCAGCAACGCTTCAGTTTAGATTTTGTCTCTTTTTAGAGACTTTCTCAAGCCCTTCTTCTTTGTTATTTTTCCCTTTGTTTTCTTAAAAGGGAAAAAACAGGATCATACAAGCTTATCTTCCCTGAAGTGATCAGAAGAGAGAGTCAGCAATACTCCTGCCAAAACACCTACTATCCTCTCAAGTCAGGGGGATCATATGTTGCTCGCTAGCTGAATTCCCTTGGGGGTCTTTTCCCTGACTATACGCTTTTCCCCTCTTGAATTACAGTCTTACTTAAATTACTAATGCCTCAGCGCCACCAAAATATTCCCATTCATTTCCACAGCTTTTACAAATATGATAACATGATTTGTGTTTAAATATAAGCTTTTTATTTTTTATTATGAATATCATATGTTTGGCAAGCTGTCTGGCCTTCCTTATGATGATGAATGCCGCAGCAAACAATTTGCTGTATCTTTAAAGAAATGGCCAATTCAATTACATTATGCCAGAAGCTTTCAAATCCCTCTCTGCCAAACGTCTTTGCTATATCCTGCCACAGACAGCCCATTTGTATTCCAGCACAGTAGGACACTTGTTTTATTGAAGCATACAGTTCTAGTTAGGTACTATCAACAGAGCACTATTTCAGTTCTCCAGCTCTGTGTTCCCTCCCACCCCTTCTAGCCTCAGTTATTAGGATTTTCAATTTTACTGACCAAACGTGTATGCATTACTAATTACATGCATGAAATCAGTAGTTATTGACTGCTACAACAAAATACATTAGTGACCAATTACAGGAGTTCTTGGCAGCAATGGTTATCATTTTAGTGGATTTAATCATTGCACTTAAAGTGAAGCTTGAGATTCCCATTGAGATTACATCACTAATTGCTTCTGTTTTGCCAGTTACTGCATGAGCTGGTTTGCAAAAAGGATCACTAAAGATGCTTTCTAAATATCGAAGAGCAGCAAACAGATGAAGCCTCCTGTAGTGAGTCGTCATCGTCCCCCCAGTAAAACCACAGCGTCAATTCATTCATACCACAATGCCAAGCTCCAATACATATCCCCCTTGTCACCCCTTCTTCCCTTCTCATTTCTTGTTACTTGGGCAGACAACAGCAATACAGCTGCATTTGCCGTTCATGTGAATTGTGTGACACACTATCATTTATTTATATAGATAGTGAGAATATTACACTTCTAAAAAAAATAATTTTCCCCCCTCTTCTGTGTTTGCAAGGAGGATGCTACTTGTTATTCTTATTATGACAGAATGTTTGAATGGTCTTAGACCTGTAAGAAAAAAAAAAACCAAACACAACACCACAAAAAACCAAAAACAACCTGGGCAAGTACATGATTTATTGCACGCACAATACCACCATAATAGGCTTCCACTCTCCAGGAATCCCTAAAAACAAACACTCCCCCTCCAAAGGAATTTGTAATATAACATATTGTTCTTTAAAAGCCCACGTCTACCTCCAGATCCCCACCAGTGATGAATTATCTGGTTTACAGCCTCATAAAGCACAAGTGTCTATATATTGCTGAGGCCAACCACAGGACTTTGGTACCTTTCAAATTCAGTGATATACAACTTTCCAAACACCAATGAAAGGCTGTGACACTTGGCTTCAGGCAAAACAAGGAGACATAATTTCATCAACATTTTAGGTCTGATCAAAATAAGTTGTCTTTCAAAGACAGAAAGCATGGGGGAGGGTTGCAACTACATTTCTGTTAGCTGTCTGAGAACAAGCTATTTTAATAAAATTGTTTAAACAATTTTTTTTGTTTCCTTTTTATTAAAATTCAGCTACCGGAGCTTTCCATTACTTAAACATCACTTTCTGAACAATAAATAATCCCTCTCAAAAATATACACACACCACCCCCCCAAATCCTCAATCAAAAATTTCTCATAAGATTAAAAAACCTTCTAGACTTGTCTCATCAAACATCAACTTTTTTAGGATTTCAGTAGATGCTAAGTTGATACAACTCTTATTAGAAACTTAATTGATCTCTGTGAGAGATCTGTAGAGAAAAAGTTTTAAATCCCCAGAGACTTCTAGACTATGAACATCAGAGTGCACAGTATCTTTAAAAATTGGCAGAAACCATACACTATGATTTACAAAAATAATAATAATCTCCCTGAAATTTTTAGCTAAAAGAAATTGAAAAGCTTAATTCTATGTTTTCAACAGGCGGCAGCAACAGTACCAGTTGGCTTCACTTCAGCCTCTAAACTACCGTATAGACTATTACCTGCCGATCCCTGAAAACAAACATAATGCAGTACATAGAGGGTTGCGTCAGGGATACGTTTTATCCTGCTTCAAACCCAAATGTAGATTTGCACAAACCCGCCAATTTTTCCAGAACACCAGGCACAAGAACTGCTATGTGCAGGATGCTCTCAAAAACAAGGCCAGTTCATTTCCATGCCTAAGTGAGAAAATCTTGCCCCAGGGCACTCAAATTTCAAGTCTGAATGAGAAAATCTGTAGGTGATGCAGCAACTACAATAACTAGCAAATAATAAACTAGATAAAACATCTAAATTAGAGTAGAGATCAATCCTATATTCATAAACGAATAGACTACACAATTTAATTGGATTATCCCCATCTCTTAGTTCAATAGTTCTTGACTTCTGCCATGCTCAAACAACAATTAAGGACAATTATCAAGTAAAAAAGCAATGTAACACTGATGTGGTATCTTTGTCAAGGCAGAAGTCACTATACCTACAAATCCTGAAGCCCAGCAGAATGACCACCTTTCTTCTGTATGGGCAAGCTCCTGCCTCATGTCCACAAGCACAAGATTTAAACTATAATTCCAAAAAGACTGCAATTGCTCCTGGAATTTCTAGTGCTGCCTTCCAAATGAGGAAACAGGAACAAGACAGGAGAAGAATATACTCCCAAAATGAACAGCTGAGTTTACGTAGCACCCAAAATACAAAAGGTCAGGAAATACCTGTCTTTCGTCACTGTCAAAAGCAATAGACTAAAATACGCAGAGTAGGACTGATAACACAGGAAATAAATGAAAACATTTGCTGCATATTAGTACGGAAGTTAAAAGAAACAAGGCAAAAACCTCTCTCAAAGGTCCCTGCTGAATTTAAAACAGAGCTGTGGGGCCAATTTTGATTTCAAAACATGCCATTATCATTTAAGAATCCTGAACTGCTCTCCTTTAATAAACCTTACACCTGATCGCTAGTCCACAGACCTAATTCCTAAAACCATGTACAATAAGCGCAAGTATGACAAGGCATGGTATTTGCAGGAACCAGAACTTCAGTGAGAACTACAAATGCCCAGGAAAGTATCCAGTTACTTCTCATACAGTCTCAGGCATTATTTGTGATTCACTACATGACTCACAAATCAAAGAATAACGGTAAATGCCACCACGATGCAGTTCTGAATGAACTGTCTTATGTGTGTATAGCTCATAAAGCCTGGCATATTTTTAAGTTACATATTTAATTCTCTTTAATATCAAAAGCAATGAGAGGCTTTTTTGTCATCTACTCTATTGCAAAGAGATAAATACAGTAAAAGCTACGGCAAAATGAAATACACTTTTTTATGCAGTGACGTGACAGGTATCAATTTATAAGTTCATGCATTCAGTACAAGGACATGATTAAACCACAGCACAGATTCGGAATAAAATGCACTGATAACAAATTTAGACCAGATTAAATCAGGAGACTCAACTGATGAGCAGAGTTTGTAAAATTTTATGTAGATACCAGTAAGGGTATTCAACTTAATGAAGCCTTCCAAAACTAAACATAATTCTTTTAGCATGACAAACACCAGCAGGAAGAAGAGACTCCAGCTCTGGCAATTGTTTCAGAAAACTCAATTAACTTGCCCATTATTAAAAATACGTTACCGGTAGAAAGAAGTTTCATGCTATACTATACTTATCTGCTCATTAATATTACATGCATTTCATATATGAATATGTATGAATAAATAAATAGGTTAAATAATACAGCAAAGTACCTTTTTGGCATGTGAAATAATTTATTGTAACCAGAATAATGTTTGGATTGCCAGGAAAGGAAGCTAGGTGAATAACTGAAAAATATTCTTCCTGCCTTTTCAGAAACCTGTGTAGGCTGGGTTTGGGATTGGTTGGGGACCTTCAGACGCCTAGGAATGTCTGCCACATGCCCCGCCAAAGCTGATGCAGAAAAGCTGTGTCTGTCCTATTTTAATGGAAGCTAATCCAACTATTTTAATGGAAGCAAACTCAACCAAGTCAATAGCTTTTGTCTCAAACAATGTGAAATGAGCATTCACCCTTTCCAAGACAACCATATTAGGCCACCACAAGGTTGTCTCCTCAGCCTTCATCCTTATTATGATTACAAACCAGCAAGATTGAGGTCGTTCAAACTCAGAACTTACTGTCAAGATAAATAACTGAAAAGGCAAAACACCAAAATACCAAGAAATCCTGCATATAATCTACATTTAAATTTATGGAGGCTTTAGAGGTAGCAATATAAAGCAAACCTACTGCAAAGCACTGAAGGCTCTGTACAATATTCCCTTTAGCTAGCCCTAGTACTTCTAGTCTTTTTCAATTCAAAAGCCAAGGTATTGTCTCAAGTTAAAGGTTGCAATTAGGCACAGACATGCTGAAAAATATTAACAGTTTGAACATTTTGTAAAGCTGATTTCCAGCTAAGCATTCACTTACTCAGGTGCAAGAACAGTCAAGCTTCCCAGTTTCCCCCAGATTTTCCCTTCAGGCCAGTTTTATCCTTAGGTACCTGTGTACAATAAAAACCAAAGAAAAAATCAATTTACATAATTCCTTGTAAGTTCATCTGTTGATTATATCAACTCTTATGGCCCGAAATTGTCAACAATTTAAATTCAGATATCCAGCTTTTCTAACAGGATTATTTCCCATCAATTTGCTTAACCAGAACCAAACTCAAAGCTCTTTTTCCTCGCAAAAAAAATGGGTTTTATTTGACCAGTTCTACATATATATATTTTTTCAGACTCAGCACAACCTTAAGTGAAAGAGTTTTCTGTGAGAAAACTCATGTAAATTCTACCTAATAGAAGGTGGGATTGCATGATTTAGGTGTATTTCATCACTTGTTTTTAGGAGTACAAACGGACAGCAATACAGTTAAGGCTTTGTTAGCCACAGATTTAAGCTACCTTAAAACCGTTAACATGTGACAAGAAAATCCTACATATTCAATTACCACTTTAAAAATTGAAAGAAGGTTTGTGTACAGGTGCACTGTCACTCAGTTAAGGAGGAGCTCAAAAAATAGAGTTATTCTAGTTTCTCCTGGCACTAGCATGAATTAAAGAAACATTTTCAAAATGTACTATTCAACCATATGGAATCAATTTTTGCAGACATATGGAGCTTCAATTAAATAAGGGTGGCTTTGCCGACACAAAAGTCCACCTGCACATATTCAAATTTTCCAGAATTAGACCATCTAATTTAGAACAGCCCATCTAACAATAACAGAGTAGAAAAGCAATGCATTTGATATGACACAACCACTGAAACTAGTCTCTTAAAATAGTAATCACAGCCTTACTTTTGACCATGGTCAGAATATAACCAGATTAGAAGGAAAACAAAGATGGAATTAGTTTCCCTAAAATAGAATTACATCAGATCAAAAGAAAATTATTTTTCATCTTCTCCATCACACAAGTAAATGTATAATTGAAAATGCAAGCAAGGTACAGTTTTTCAAAGAAGATTTGACCAGAAGTCAATGGAAATTTAAAAACTGACTGATTGTGTGCGCTGCTTTTGGCTGGGATAGAGTTAATATTCTTCTTAGTAGCTAGTAGGGGGCTGTGTTTTGGGTTTGTGCTGGAAACAGTGTTGATAACCCAGGGATGTTTTCGTTACTGCTGAGCAGGGCTCACATAGAGTCAAGGCCTTTTCTGCTCCTCACCCCACCCCACCAGCGAGGAGGCTGGGGGAACAAAAGGAGTTGGGAGGGGGCACAGCTGGGACAGCTGACCCCAACCGACCACAGGGACATCCCACACCATATGACATCATGCTCAGCACACAGACCTGGGGGAAGAAGAAGGAAGCGGGGGACATCTGGAGTGACGGCTTTTGTCTTCCCAAGTCACTGTTACGCATGATGGAGCCCTCCTTTCCTGGAGATGGCTGAACACCTGCCTGCCCATGGGAAGCAGGGAATGAATCCCTTGTTGGGCTTTGCTTTGTGCATGGCTTTTGCTTTACCTATTAAACTGTCTTTATCTCAACCCATGAGTTTTCTCACTTTTGCCCTTCCGATTCTCTCCTCCATCCCACCAAGGAGGAGTGAGCAAGCGGCTGGGTGGTGCTTAGCTGCCATCTGGGGTCAAACCATGACATTGTGCTTCCTAGTTTTTTTAAGTTCTCTTTTCACACTGTGCATCCAGGATAAATATATGGGAAGTATGCATTTAGAAAAAATGAAAGTCAACAAGCTACATAGAAACACTAGCATCCTCACAATCCTAAAATCTTAAAATAAGAAAGGTGTCCCATGAGGTGGAAACTAACAAATTTTTAAGGTAAGCACTTCAGAAGCCCCAATTTATTTATTTATTTATTTTTAAAAGTATTTGGAGTTAATTTGGCCCCCTTGTTCATATCTAGTCTGCCTGGCTTTTTATTAGATGACGACATGCAATGTTTTTGCACAGGACCCTGACCTCATTCAGTGAATACAACAGTCTAGAAGAAAAGAGAGTACTGAAAATCTACACATTAACTGCGTTACGTATGGTCACAGCACAGATAACAACAGACTTCATTACAGTCCCCTGCGAGGTACATCATACAATCCCCACAGACTGCGAACTTCAAGAATGAAACTTTTGAATTAGGAGCATTACAAACTTAAATGTTCAACCAGAGATTCCTAAAACTCATTTATCAGAGTACATAGCCTTATATTATACTTTAAACTAATTTTCTGGGAAAGCTGCACTCATCTGCCTTAACGAGGTGACGCATCTTTCCTTTCTTGTAGTGCATTTCCCCATTCACTATCTGTCTTAAAGTTTCTACAACAAACCAAAGCAAGTTTTTAAAGACCTGTCTCTTTTGCTGCAGAGTCTTCGTACACTTCTGGTCCAGTAGAAAAGACCATACAATTCTGAAATCATATAATTTAAAACTGTATTGTAGCGCATATGTCCAAGGGAGCTCAGTTAACATGTTCTAGACAACCTTATTTCTTCACCTTCCTAGCTTTGCAGTGCTTGTTTGTAACTCGAACAGCATGCTTCAAGTCAGCCTTCTGAGCTTCGTTTAATTTCCAGCTCTTTTAAGGACAGTATCCATTGGAAAGGAGAAGCTCCATCTTATTCAATACAGACACCCAGAGTCTCCCTCAAAACTTGGCCACCTTCTCATCCAAACTGTACCATTGCCAATTCTGGGGACATGTGCCACCACCCCCATCACACTCATCATCATCAGGCTCAGCCTCCTATTTCTGATCTCAGTCCTGTCTCCCTGCTTCTTTTGAGAAACTGCTTCATTCTTGTGAACTTCATTATCCAATATATTGCTCCCTCCCCACAACCAGAATCCCATTTCCCATTAACTTCCAGCTCTCTTTTAATCTTAGTCTCTTTTAATCTCTTCCATCTTTCCTTTTAATCTCAGCATTGGCTCTCAGCTTTCTGTCCCCTTCACAGATCTGTTAGCTCTTCCACACCGCTTTTCCTCCTTCCAATGGTTTTCCCACTACTTTACTCCCCCACTCCTGTGTTTGCCTCTTGCCCTGGCAATTTTCAGATTTATTCTCAACAACCAACTCCCTATGTTTTCTGTATTTCCCTTCCTGGTTCCTATGCCATCTTTGTGATTAGTGTGCCATAGCCATGGTTGCTACGCTTTGTGCTGAACTCACTTCCAATGATAGGCACTAAAGAGATCTGTACAAGGGCTAATGAGCAGGAAAGCAGGAACACCTAATTTAAGAATTCCAGAAGGACCTGGGCAGAAGACAAGCCAAACCAGCACTGCTGCCTGTGCAAAAGTAAAATTTTAGGCACTTAAATCCCTTGGTACCGAAAAACATAGACACCTATATATTTAAGGCAGCCGTAGGAAGGTTTTGTGGACTGTTGGTTCTTCAGTCTTGATGTTAGATTAACACCATCTACTCTTTTTTTTTTTTTAATTGTTCTACAAAAAACCCAAATAAAGTTAGAGTCTAAACCTCAATCTAAACTCATTCTACATGTCAGTTAATACAGATTTACTAGAACTTTAAGACATTCTTTCTGAAGACAAAACAGTCCTTGATTCAGTCAAATATATTAAGTTTTGGGAGGAGGAGGGAGGAATGGTTTTTAATTAAGAACAGGGTTTTCTTGGCACTGTTTACCAAGGATAACTTTGCTTATCTTTATTCCAACGGAAGAAAGTAGATAATAGCATACCTTCACCTCTTTTTGCCAGAAAGTAAGAAAGCAAACAAAGACATCTTCCTGTCCTGTCTCAGTCTCCCTTTTTGTGAGGGAGGGGCTAAAGGGGGTTAAGGCTTAATTTAAGATGATTTTATACAGTTGGGAGAGGCTGATTCCTCCAAGATGTAAAATAATAAAGCAAATTAAAAGACATTCAATTTATTGCCTAAGTCCTATTTTTAGAATAGTTTCAATATTTGGCTTGGCAACAGTAGTTTGCATCAACAGAATATGAACTAAATCAACACAAACAGCCATCAGAATTATGTAATAAATTCAAATATGAAGAGAATTTAATTAAGAACATTCTTCCCACCTTTGAATACACAGAAATAGTTCTTTGGAGTACCTCATGACATGACCCTTATTTGCAACAGGCATCTTTTGAAAAGAGGAGGTAACACAAACCTTAATATAGATTAGGTGATCTCAGCTTCTTGGTATCAATGAAAACTAACAGCTAGCCGTAGGATTGTTCCTAGTGTGGATTTACGTTATCAGTATCCTAAGCCTATCGGCTCTCCCACTAATCTGCCCTTCTACAAATTTTTCTTTTCCCATATTTTATACATTCTCCTATCTCATACAACTCCCCCTCTTTTATTCATCTCCCTACATTTGTTCCTTCCTCTTCCTCATAATTTCCTCACTGAAATACAACCCAAGTTCCAAATAATGAAGAACGCAGTTGCCTTTCTGCACAGTATAATCACTGCTTCGGGGGCAGAACCCATATGTGCTGCAAATTCTGCAGGAGCTTTTCCTTAGCTTTAATACAATTCATAGCTGGCACACTGGAGAGATGAATGTAAAAGAAAATAGTAAATTGGTCTAAGTGAAACTTTAGATTAATTTTTCACGTTACTTTTGCTATTAGCTTCCTCAGATTTATAATATTGGTTGGTATAACCTGTATGTTGATTGCCCAGAAGACAGAAGTCCTGGAAAAATAAAAATCTAGAAGGGTCACACTGGATTTAAAACTGGATCTGTTGTTAATTGTTATCCTCAGCTTATTCTCAGTATTATTCCCTCTCTTCCAGCCCCACCTCATTCAAATACAGAGCGTCACATTTTCACGGTACACTTAACATGCCATTTTGCTTCATGTGCTGGTAAATTTCTCTGTGCTTAAGCCTTGCGTTTCTTTTCCAAGGATAGCATTTGCACTATTTCTGAACAGTGCAAAAAGTCATGTAACTTTTCCTCTTCTTTTTTCTTCTGAACCACTATACTCCCCTATCACATGATGATAAAACAGTGGACAGTCACATCACTCCTTTTCTCTAACACAGCAGCA